CAACTTGTTTCGGTAAACCTCAAGATGAGGCTCAAGTTTGTGGTGGCAAAGGTAAATGTGTTGCTCCAAATACTTGTAATTGTAAAGCTGGTTATTCAGGAATTGAATGCGATATCAAAACTTGTAATGGTAAGACTGAACAAGCTGGTGGTTGTTCCTTCAATGGTAAATGTACTGATGTCGACGTTTGTCAATGTAGAGGTAATTTTGATCCTAGCACCTACTGTTTGAAGTGTATTGCTGGATACACTGGTGCAAATTGTGAAATTCCAATATGTTACAATACTCCAGCTACTGATAGATCAGTATGTAATGGTAAGGGTTCATGCCAAGGTCCAAATGCTTGTAAATGCTTGGCTGGTTTCGAAGGATCATCTTGTCAATCATTCTCATGCCATGGTGTTGATAGAAATAGTCAATATGCTTGTTCTCAACACGGTAAGTGTGTTGGTCCAGATACTTGTCAATGTGATTCTGCTTGGACTGGTTCTCGTAATTGTTCTAGTTGTAGTCCTGCATTTAAGGGAGATGATTGTAAAGAACCAGTGTGTACAGATGCTGGTACTTGTGGTGGCAAGGGTAAATGTCAAGGTTTGAAATGTAAATGTGATGGAAATTATGCTGGTGAATATTGTGAAAAGTGTATTGGTGGATTTGTTGGTGCAAATTGTTCAATTTCTTGTAACCCATCCACTTGCAATGGTAGAGGAACTTGTACCTATGATGGCTCTTGCACTTGTAATAGTCCAAATGTTGACCCAGCTGCTAAATGTGCTCCAGGTGTTTGTCTCAACCAATATGCTGGTGATAATTGTGACTATAAATTTGATACATCCTCTCTCAAGTTCAATGCCAACGGTGACAGACTTGTTGCAACTGTTTACTCCACCCTCAAGAGACCAATTCCATGTGATCAAATCTTCCAAGATGTTTTAAAGCTTGGTGATAGATCTCAATGTGTTTTCAATACTGACAAGAGCACTTTGGAAGTAATTTTGGGACCTAATGCTGCTGTTACTACCTCAGATGTTCTTAGACCATTGAAATATCCAGGTAGTAAGGAAGCTACTAATGCAGAAGTTCAAAGTGGTGAATTCATTGCTGCTTCACCAACTGTTTCCTTGATTGGTGACAAGAGCGTTGTTTCAACATGCGATGATTTGTTCTTGAATGCTTATGGTTCAGTTTCTTTGGATCGTCGTCCATTAACTTTCTCCTGGTCTGTTGCTTCGGGACCATCAAGTTCAGATGAAGATAAGCTCTCAACTGCTATCAAGAGTGAAACTCGAGGTGGATTGAGAATCAAATTGAACGAGCTCGGTTTGTCTGCTGGTACTTACATTGTTTCTGTTACTGTCACCAGTAGTTTCGGTAAATCGGATACCAAGTCCTTCTCTTTCACAGTTATTGCCAATGCTGTTCCAGCTGTGTTCATTAAGCAAGGTGCTGAAAGCAAGTTTATGATTGGTTCTGTTTCAACTATTAATCCAATTATCAAATTCCCATCCTGTTACAACGGAAATGGTCAAGTTCAATACAGTTATACTTTAGATGCTTCTCAATCTGCATCCATTGTTACACCAAAAACAAAGAATGGAATGCTGGTCCTTGGTAAGGGATTTACTGAAATTAATCAAGAAGGTGATTACTACTTTACAGTCACTGCCACAGCTAATGGAGCAGAATCATCCTCAACCTCAATCAAGGTAACTGCTATTGCTCAACCATTGATCCTCTCCTATTCCATTGACAATGTTATTCAATCTAATCAAGATCCAATTTCATTTAATATTAAGGTTGTTGATCCAAGTAATACCAATGATGCCCAAAATGTATCCATCACTTGTTATGATTTGACTAATGGCCAAGACTGTACCATTCAACCTGGATATGTTTCTTCATTCACAAGCACTCAATTCACTGCTGGAGCATACCAATTCACTGCAACTGTAACTAAGGGATCAAGAGGTGCTACTCGTTACTTGTTTGTTACTCTCCTTGAGCAAGCAAAGGATACTCTTCTCAAAGTTTCAATTACTTCAAATGTTGACTTGACTGTTGTTGATCCATCTAAGGACTTGTATTTGACCTATACTACATGGGGTGTTCAATTATCAAGCCCATCATTTACTTGGTCTGCTGAAAACTTTGAACTCAACACTAATACCTCCACCACTTCAAGCTATTTGAAGATTCCATCCAGCTTGCTTTCTCCAGGTGACTCATATACTGTTTCTTTGGCTGTCACTGATGGTGTCAAGGAAGGTTCTGCTAAGGTTACATTCACTGTCAACTCTCCACCAACTCAAGGTCAATTCGATGTCTATCCAATCACTGGTAAAGCTTTGAGCGATATTTTCGATATCAAGTGTGGTAATGGTTGGTCTGATCCTCAAACACCATTGACTTATCAATTCATGTTCTACGATAACAAGGGTAACAAGTGGAACCCTCTTACTGACAGAACTGAAGAACCATCCGCAAGTATCTCACTCCCAGCACCAACATCTGGTAATATTTTGACTGTTAAGGCTGTTGTGTACGACTTTTTGGGTGCTTCTTCATATGCTACTTTTGATGTTACTATTACCAAGCCATCTGCTGAAGAATCTGTTTCTGCCTTGTCTTCAATGGCCACCTCTAAGGGTACTGTCACATTGTCTGCTGCTTCATCTGCCATGTCTGTTATTGGTAGTGTTGATATTAACAAGTTGAACTCTTCACAAATTGATTCTATCAAGCAAGCTGCTTCTGCTATTGCAGATGCCTTCCTAGACCAACAAGCCAAAACTGATAGTATTTCTGTTTCCAAGAGCTCTGCTGAAAATGGTCTGTCTTTTGCTTCATCATTCAGTACTTCTGTTTCTTCTGGAATGGTTGCTGATAGTACTACAGCCAAGGTTGTTGACAGTCTCGCAAATACTACAGGAAATGTTAACACTAACGGCATCGAACTTGGAAGTGAAATGATTGACAATGTAAAGAAATCTGCTGACAAATTCCTTGAAGTTATTCAAAAAGGTCAACAAAGAAAGAGAGTTTTCAGTAAGGTTGACCTTGCAAACATTAACACTGTTTATACCAATTTGGCAACTTTGTCTGTTAAGGACACTATTGCTGACTTGCCATCTACCATTGTTAATGCTGGTGGTGTAACAACTCTTACTCGTAAGGTTAACATTGCTACCTTGAACTCCCTCTCTGAAAAGATTCTTGGTAACAATAAGATCAAGTTATCTTCCAAGTTTGCTCAATTGAGTCAAATTGCTTCTCTCAAGACTGTCAATGTTATGGCTAAAGTTATTGATGTTACTGGTGTTGATAATACTATTACTAAGGCTATTGATTTCAAGTTGGTTGATGGAACTGCTGTCACTGTTTCTAATTCTTCTTCTATTGCTGATTTGGTCTTTGAACTCACAAAGAAATCAAGAACTTTGATGGAAACTGTCAACACATGTAAGGTACTCAATACTGTTACTAACACGTATGAAACTGCCTCTGGATGCACCTTAACTACGAACAACGACGGTACTATCACTGCTTCTGTTTCAAGCACTGGTACTTATATCATTACTTCTCAAACCACTGTTACACCAGGCTCTTCAACAACTCCAAAACCTTCAACTGTAACTCCAGTGAAGAGTACCAAAGTTAATGCAAGTTCTAATGTTGCTGTTAACGCTTTGATGCTCATTTTGGCCTTGGTTGCTGTATTGATGATGTAATAAATATTGATGAACTTTTATCAAAAAAATACAATGAACACACAAGCTCTTGATTTTCTATTTTTTGCCTGTCTTGTTTTCGTTACCATTGCAATATTGCCAGTTGAATCTAATCCATTATTTTCATCATTAATAATATTTGGATCAATGGTGGCTTTTTATATTTGCAGAACTAGAGAAATATCGTCACCCAAGAATCAAGTAACAAAGAAAATCACTGATCAAAAGAATATTTCGGAAATCAAAACAGTAAACGAAGCAAAAAGACAATTAAAATTAGACGAATCTCACATTGAAAAGCTTGAAAGAATAAGACAAAGTACTTTTAAAACCACTGGAAACTATCAAATTTTCGATGAAGAAGATAATAGTAAACTTCCAAAAGGCCAAAAAATAGTTAAAAAGTGGCCTGTCCTCGATTTGGGGTATCATCCAGAAATGGATATTAACTCATGGGAACTTGAAATAATCCTTGGAGATGATCATCCGATCAAGACAATCACACTCACAGAATTACTTGAATCTATCCCATTATCCAAATATACAATTGATTTACATTGTGTAACCACATGGAGTGTTATGGACATGCACATGGAAGGTCTTTCCTTTCAATCCATTATCAATTATCTAAAACCAGATCCAGACTGGAAATTTCTCATTCAAACAGGAATTGATGGTTATGTTGTGAATGTCCACAGAGAGGACGTGGACACACCAGATTCATTTCTAGCTCTCAAATATAATGAAGAATTCATTTCCAAAGAGCATGGTTACATTCGTCTCATGATTCCTCAACTATTTGGCTGGAAAGGATGTAAATTCTTATGTGGACTCAAATTTTCAAAGGAAAATGAAAAAGGGTTTTGGGAAAGTCGTGGCTCTCACGATCGTGGAAGAGCATTTAAAGGAGAACGATATCAGGAAGATAATAATCAATGGGAGAATCTTTACGATAATAGTCTGAATAATGACGGAAATTGGATGGAAATGAAAGTGGAAAAGATTTTGAATGAAGGAGGTTCCACTATTGAATTGAAAAGTTTACAATTATTGGAAATTCCAAAAGAATTGACTCAAACTTTGGATTTTACATTCATATCCAGTTTAAATCTTGACAATAACTTACTGACACATGTCAATGGATTATCAATTTTGAAAAAACTTACTCGACTCAACTTGAACAATAATCAAATATCTGAATTTCCAATAGAAATTTGCTCCTTACTTAATTTGAATGAATTATTCATCATGAATAATAAGTTAACACAAGTTCCGCCTGAATTGAGTCATTGTAAACAAATGGGAGCTCTTTGGTTTGATAAAAATCAAATCGAAACCCTTCCAATGGAATTATCCGAAATTAGTGAATTGGCTTCAATTTCTCTTTATAGAAATAATGTCAAATACCTTCCAAAAGAATTGTCAAAACTCAAATATTTAAGAATGTTAAATATTGCTGAAAATCCATGTTTGGAGAATATTCCAGTTGAGTATTGTGAATTGATTAATGTTTCCTTTTTTGGTTTGGATAAATGTAAGTGGGAAAATGGAGACGAAATTTCTAAAGAAATTCTACATGAAGGAGCTGAAGCCATTCTCAAAGCACTTAGAGAACGTTTTTATCAAAACTCAAATAATTGAAAGAAGAATTGATAAAAAAAAATGCAAAACAATGTAGAGGATTTCACCGTAAAAGAATGCCTCCCTTGGGAATCGAACCCAAGACCTCTGTCTTACTAGGACAGCGCTACTGCCAACTGAGCTAGGAAGGCTGTTGCTTCGCCTTTTGAGCTCTCACTGAAATTTCAACAAACAAATATTAATGTACAGCACTGAATTGGTTTCTTTCATTACTCAATGAGTTGATTGCTTTTAGCGTGTTTAGGGTTTGGAAAATATCCTTCTCTTATGATTAGAATCAATTTCAAATCTCAAAACGTTTGAAGCACTATTCAATCAAAAACATAAATTTTGATTGTGGAGAAATGAGAAATCAAAAGTGGAATTTTTTTAACAGTATTTCAAAATGTTGGATATTGATAATCATTGAATGAAGTTTCTCTCCAATTTGGATAAGAAAATTGTCTTGGAATAGTTTGTTGTTGATTTTGCTTTAAAATTTTTCACGCTCATACGGAATATTATTTTTATCTTAGGAAGCAGAAATTTCCTTACTAGATTAAACTCAAGGAAACCGAAACAATACGTGAAACATTCTTCCAATCATTCAATAAGGGAAGTCATAAAAATTACACACCCCATGTTTTTACCTCCCTCTGCCCTCATGTATTGCCCTGTTCAAATCTTGCTTGGATGGAATAATAATGGAGGAGGATAGGAATCGACATTTTCAACAGTCATTCTTTCATACTTGCAATCTCAATACTGAAGATTGATCCGTGTTGTTTGAAGAAATGAAACATTATTCCATAACTTATCAAAGTGTTACTAAGGGATGAGAAAAAAATTTCAAACTGGGGATCTGGAAAGCTTAACCTTCACTCAATTTAATCCCTTATATGTAAGTGATGTTAATTGTTTCATTTCACTTATATATTTGACTCCTTCATCACCAATTCGATTGCCACGAATATTGAGTGATATCAACTGTTTCATTTCACTTATGAATTTGGCTCCTTCATCACCAATTCGATTGTAAGAAATATCAAGTGATGTTAATTGTTTCATTTCACTTATGGTTTTGGCTCCTTCATCACCAATTCGATTACCAGAAATATCAAGTGATGTTAATTGTCTCATTTCACTTATCCATTTGGCTCCTTCTACACAAATTCGATTGTCAGAAATATTAAGTGATGTTAATTGTCTCATTTCACTTATCAATTTGGCTTCTTCTATACCAATTTGAGTGAAACAAATATTAAGTGATGCTAATTGTCTGGTTTCACTTATCAATTTGGCTCCTTCATCACCAATTTCATTTTCACCAATATTGAGTGATATCAACTGTTTCATTTCACTTAGATATTTGGCTCCTTCATCACCAATTCGATTGCCAGAAATATCAAGTGATGTTAATTGTTTCATTTCACTTATCAATTTGGCTTCTTCATCACCAAATTCATTGCCAGAAATATTAAGTGATATCAACTGTTTCATTTCACTTATGAATTTGGCTTCTTCCAAAGAGTGAAGCAACCAACTAGAAAATGTAACATTAACAATACAATTCATAAATTGACTTTTCAAAAATAATTGAAATTGTTTCTTTGTTAATTTCTTATTAAATTGAATAAAAAGTTTTGAACGTTCCTTGATCACATTAAAGAATTGTTTTGAAATTAAAGTACAATTATTTAAAATAAACCACGAATTATCAATCATGGAAATTATTTCAAAACAAATGTCATCTGAAAATATTTCTTGTTCGAATTTCACAACCTTTTTTACTTTCTCTTCCGTATTATTATTATTATCATTAGTGAATATTTCCTCCGAATTAATGAATTGATGATTTTCAAAATCTTGTCTGATTCGTTTGCTCATTTTTTTAATAATATTTTAATAATATTTAATTTATTAAATATATTTGAAACATTGGAAAGTTCCACTATATTTAAAACTGAAAAATCTGAAACTGTTAATATTAAACAGGTAGGAAGTATTTTTTCAAGAAGAAATAATCATTGATGGACACATTTTCCCGCCATTAGTTTTAACCTTAATTAAAATTATTTTAAAAAAAATGCTTGAGCAAAAAGGTCCCGTTCGGTCAGGGAAGGTTAGGCGAGTTATTGTGCAACCTAAAAGACGAAAGCTTGAAGAAACCCCAGCCACCGATCAGGAGATGAAATCATCAGCACCGACCATTGATGTAAACAAGATTCCTGTATCTTCTGAGAATTTTTTAGATATCATTAACAAAAAGATGGTATATGTTGATAAAACAGATGTTATTCATGATATGTTGGAATTTTCCTCCTCTATATTCATTGCAAGACCTAGAAAGTTTGGAAAGTCATTAATCTTGGAAATAATGTTACATAGTAGGTTTTAATTACAATTATTTACTCTCTAGTTCTTGAGGGATCCAAACATTTGTTTGAGGGATTGAAGATTTGTACGAACAGAGAAAGAGAGTGGACCAAGCATGCTGTATTTAGGTTTAACTTTGCTCAAAATGCTGGGGACGTTGTTGTACACTTAATTCTTGGCATTGAAGATGTTTGCAACAAATATGGAATAACTGTGGAACAGATGAACGAATCTTTCAAGCTGAAAACTGTGTTATTGGAATTTAATCGTGTTGTAAACACTCTAACAAATCAAGGATGCAAAATTGCAGTGTTAGTTGATGAGTATGACATTCCAATTGTAAAGTATATTGAGAAAGATCACACTGAGGAGGAATTGCTTCAAATCAAAAACAATTCTGAACTGTTGTCACAATTTTTCAATGAGGTAAAGAATAATAGAAACGTTTCAAAATTCATTGTCACCGGTGTAGCCAAATTTACCAAGACCTTACACTTCTCAGCTGCAAACCATTTAAAAGATGTATCCAGTCTGCCACTAACCTCCACACTTTATGGATATACAAGAGAGGATTTGAAAACCTACTTTAGTGATTATCTGGAAGCACTAGCTTGTAAAAAGGGTCAATCTGTATCAAAATTAATTGATGATATTGTGGAATACTATAATGGATATTGCTTTTCGTTTAGCTCTGATGCAACAGTACTCAATCCATTTGACATCAACGAATTATTGAAGGAGCAAAGCACCCAATTTAAACCCTACTGGATAAGGCATGGAAGACCAACATACATTGGTGAGAAGCCATGGGCAGAATGCGTAGATATTGCAAGTTGGAAAGATACATCCATATCAGAAACTAACTTTGACAGGTTTGAACCAGTATCTATTTCATCCAATACATTTATTCCAGGACCATTTCTAGTACAACTTGGACTTCTTACTATTTGCAAAAAAGGAAATGGATATTATTTAGATTTCCCAAACATGGAAGTCAAGTCTACCTTTATTGAAGCCCTTGTAGAAAAAAACAAAGAACACCTGATGTTAGAACATGCCAGGGTTTGTCAAGAATATATTAGATCAAATGACAGTGATGGTTTTGCAGATCAGCTAAAATCATTTTTTACATGTTTGCCCTATGCACACACTTGGAGAATTGTCAAGTTTGAGGCTTATTATCATACATGCCTTTATAAAGCTAATGTCTCTTATGGGGTATAAAGTTTCCTGCGAACACCCTATCAATACTGGAACTATTGATCTTGTCATTGAGGAAGAGACCTTTGTATGGGTAGTCGAGATAAAACTGTATAGTACTGCACCAATAACTTTGCAACAAATAGAAGATAGACAGTATCAACAGAAGTTTCAAGGTACAGGGAAAACTTTTGTGAACCTTGGTATTAATTTTGACAGTACTACCAGATATGTGGAAAGCCACACCGTTCCAATTCTCGAACCGAACAATGAGAAATACATAGACAATATGAGAATATCTATGGATAATAATCGTATCTTAACAATTGAATCTCCGCAAAAGAAACACACCTTTAAAATTCCCAAATCAACTTCTTTTATTAGATCAAAGGGATACTTCCATGTTGATAACACTCTTTTGGACAAATCAAACCTTTTACAATGGCAACATTCTGACCTAATTAAATTACTTGAGAAAGTGCTTTGTTTAGATAGTAATGAGCATGAAATGTTCTCAATCACCAAACGTGAAATAGACAACATTGTTCGTCGAATAATCACGAATAACCCAAAATTCAACGAACTAGTGGAAGGAGTGCTTGAAAAGAACAAATATATGGACAAAGTTTTGGCAGAAAGCGTTGTTTGTTGGATTCTAGAAAATTTAGTTGAAATAAACTAACACCAGTTTTACAATTTTCAATTGAGCAAAGTGAGCAATGAGATTTCACAACATTTTCATGATTTCACAACATTTTCATGTAAGGAAAGCAGCAAGAAGATCGTTCTCAAAGCACTCGGAGAACGTTTCTATAATTCAAAATTAAGTAAAAGAATGCCTCCCTTGGGAATCGAACCCAAGACCTCTGTCTTACTAGGACAGCGCTACTGCCAACTGAGCTAGGAAGGCTGTTGCTTCACCAACTTTATCAAATAAACAATAATTCAATGAATCCATTTCTTACTTCTTGCAATTTTGTTTTGACGTGTAATTGTTTTTCATGTCAAAAACAAATGTCTTCAATCTATTACTGTCGCACAGTGGACGAAGAGATCACATTGAAAAACCTGACACAGGCTGATCTTTTAACTCTTGAACAATTAATAATGAAAAACTTTGACTTTCTTCTCGAGTTTATTCCAAGCATTTCGTCCATCTCTTCATCATTCGGAGTGAAAATGTTTATTGATGGAAGTAATTCTAGATATTTAATTGGAGATGAACGAACAGTATTAACAAGTGGTATTTGGTATAAAAATCAATTAGCAGGTGTGATTGCAGTTCAAAATTTTGACAAGTCGAATTGTAATTGTGAAATTGGTTATTGGATTGGTGAAGAATTTCAAGGAAAGGGAATTGCCACAAGATCTGTTCAATGTTTTTGTAAAGAACTCTTTCAAAAATTGGATAATTCACCCATTAAATCTCCTCTCAATAAGATTACATTCAGAGTTGCAGAGGATAATTTGAAAAGCATTAAAATTTGTGAGAGAATTGGATGTGTAAAGGAGGGCTTGTTGAGGCAGGATGAATTCTATCATGGAAAATTTCATAATGTACTTCTCTATTCGATTTTAAAATCTGAAATGAATTAATTTATTTTATCTTCTCCAATTCCATTGAATTTGTAGAATTTTTGAGAGGGATTTGTGTTTTTAAAGGTGATCTCTTCAAAAACATTGTGTGAAAATCGAATCTTGTAAGAATTTGGGTTTTCCTCTTTGGTTGTCTTTTGGAAAGGTTGATTGAACATTGACTTTCGTTTGTTACTTTTAACAGAGAGATTATTTCTATTGAGTGGAGAGTTACTTAGTGAACAATTAAATGATTCAAGTTGAAGTGGATACGAATTTCCCTCCTCACTAATAAACTGTATGCTTTTCGACCTTTTCTTTTGGCTCTTTTTAATCTTTCGTTGTTGCATACATGTTGGTTGAGTATAGCTTACATAATTATTCTTGTCAAAACATGTTGTCATATTCTGCATGAAATGATCACCAACAGTATTATTAAACTCTGAAATATTGTTAAATGTAGTAGTTTGCGTCGATTCAATATCTTGGGATTGATTACTATTGATAGTGTTACATGTGGTGGTATTGGTAGTATTACTTGAACCTGACCTACTTCTTCCATAATTCTCTTTAGGAGTGACATTGTTTATACTTAGTGTCGAATCGGAGAGTGGTGATTGAATAGAGCTGTCGACCAGTTGTGAAGAGCATTCCAACATGCTCCATTTCAACCCAATTTCTGACTTGGTATCTTGCAGCACATGATCAATGACTCCATACAGATAGTCTGTATTCATTTGTTTTGGTTTGGCATGTGCCGTTTTTGAGCTCGTTGGTTTGGCATTTGGTGGAGAGGAATGTTGTGAAGACTCGAGTTGAGATGAATTCAGTTGATTTTCATCTTCACAATGGAACCAATCGTCAAACATGTTTGTGTCATCTATTAAGTCAATGTTTGTATGATGTATTGGTTGTCCATTGGCTTCAATAGAATTGGAAGAATTGCGCACTTGTAAGAAATCGAACAAGTTGTTTGTATCACAAAGTAGGAATGCCATAATACTGAATTGTAACAAGAACTGTATTACTATTGTCGTTGTTGTTATCTCTTTTCCACTATTCGAAACGCTGTTGTTTACAAGAGAAGATTGCTGTGATGCAATTTGTTTTGAAATTGTTTTTCTCCTCTGAGAGTTTTTCCCACACAATATTTAAAACTTGTTTGAGCCACAAAAGCCAAAAACCTGACACATGCGCACAAGTGCCTGGTCTAATCTGTGATCCCAACACAATCCATGACTGTCTAATTTGATGAAGGATTGCAGATTTAGTGAATTAAAAATAACATCTGTCAAGTACAGAAGCATGTTCGCATGTTGAGGACTAAGCAAATTTCCTACGTAGGGCTAGTTTTTGCTGAATAATAAGGTTGTACACAATTAAACTATCCAAAAAAGATGAATTGGTCCAGTCGATATCGAACTGTTTACCGCCAGATGCACCTCAATAAAGTCAATTCTATGTGAATGCAACTCACATTTTAAACCCCTTCGCTCTGACATGAAAAAGTTCAGTTACGATCATCTTCAGGTGCAATAGATAATAAACCATGTTTTTTTGGCTAATATCTATATTGAGCAATTCTTGATGCTAATGTTAGCATTGTATTATTCATGTTGTAGTATCCAACGTTTAAATAATACTGTTAAATAAATTATTTAAAGATGCAATGTAACAGAGGCAAGTGGGGTTACCCTACTCAATTCGAATGGAACGGAGTAAGTTTTTTACATTCTTGCGATTACATCATGTCTCAAAAACAATTTAGAAGAAACAGTGCTATCTGACATCCATTCTAGTAAAAGATTTCTTAAACAATCAACTTCCAAAATTAAAAACGTCTCAATTCGTCTTGAATACCATGATAGTATTTGTTATCCAATCTTCCTAAAGGAAAGAAAACCTCCCATTGTAAGAGTGATTCATGCATTCAATAGGAAACAACCAGTCGTGATGTGTTTATCAATTTTGTAATGTTTTGTCATCAATTAATGGTTGGAACAATTGAAAACATTAGATTTGGATTGATATAATTTCCTCAAATTGCTATTCGCCTCTATTTCAATGGAATTGGGAATCCTCCTTCAAAATTTAGAAAAGTAAGGACAATAATTTGGGGCTGCCAATTTTGAAATATCAAATTCTCGGTGATTCATTTCAAGTAGTGATTAGACTAAATTTCCAATTGTTATCTTGTTTGAGGGTTATTATCTTGGGTGATTGTACTGGAAATGAATATGTAAATCTACAGTTTAGTTTGAAACTGTAGATTGTGAGTAATTTTTTTGCATTTTCTTAATAATAATGAAAATAATATTATTGGTTACAAATGTCATATTTCCAAATTTGAAAAATAGTTAAGGATGAATATTGTAAACTCTCATTAGGTTGACCCAACTGTTTCATTCATCGAATTAATCGCACGAATAGGTCACAATTTGCAAACCTCATTCCAAAAATAATAATATTTAACAATCTAGATAATATAATATAATAGTTAATAGCATTCAACCAATAGAAACACATTCAAAATTTGTAAACACTATTATGCCTTACCAACTGTCCAACCAACCTTGAACGAGACGTTGAATCTCAGAAGATCTTGGCACAAAATGGAATGTTCTTCCTTTCAAATTAATTAAAAATAAAATGACGGCTGGCGTTGGGCAATGTCATTCTCATGAGAACAACAACACGGATGAACATCAAGCATATTCATCACCCAACGATAAACAACAACAACATCTAACCATGAGAATGGAGAACAATCACATTAATTGTTTCTCTGCAAATTCTTCAACATTAAATAATTTAAACTCCTTCCACAATATTAACCATCATCATCATGTAATTAATTCTTCCGCAATCATGAATTTACATAATAACCAACAACAACAACAACAACAACACTATTCAACATCATCATTGTTGTTGTTACCACCAAATAATAATAATACAACTAGCGGTAGCAGCAAGCTAAAGAAGAATTGAAGAAACCGGAACAAGAAATGGCGCCAACTTTTTTAATCAAGAACAAAACAAGAGTACAGGAGGAGAAGGAGAAGATAGAGGTAGAGTCGTTGAGTTTGNACAAGAGTATAAAAATCTGTCCATTGAGTGGACGTCCCAAACTTGATGATCATGAATGTATCCGCTCGGATTTTTCATCAATAACTAGTTTTAATAATACTGCTACCATCAATAATAATAATATGAATAATATGAATAAGAATACGAGCTTTTATAATAATAGCAATACTATTTGCTACAATTGTTGCGAGAATGTTTCCCTGAGGAAACAAGAAAATTTTGTAAACTACCTTCATCACCATCATTCTAAAGAAGTAGATGAACAATCACCACCAAAATATAATTTATCATCACCAACAACAACAACAACAATTATTGGAAAATATTCACTCATAGGACGAACTATTCTAATTTTTACCTATTTAATATGTATTTACTATCTACTCGTATCGACTATTTTCAATATCAATATATTAACAGATAGCTACATGAACAATAATAACAATACCAATCAACAACATCTTCATTCCTACTTTATAGTGAATGCAGAACAGGATTTATTTACAATAGCTAGGAGAGGAATGCCACGACCATTATTTTCTTCATATCCTGTAACTTGTAGTCCATATCCAGCTATCCAAACTTTTCAAATACTATCAGCTGGTTTACCAACATCAGGTGCATTGGGTAATGGCACTGTTGTTACACTACCAACCACTAGTACTTTTGCCAATTATATTGTGCTGGAACCTTGGCTAGTTATCTTTCCTTCACTGACAACAAGATCCAAAGGAAGAACAACAATAGCTGATGGAAATGGTAATGGAAACAATGGAAATGGCAACGGAAATGGCAATGGAAACAATGGAAAGCCACAAGAACCACCAAGAGCACTGATCAGTGATGATGATTATACTATTAGAGTGAGGAAGGTAGCCACTTCTTATACTCACACAGTTGTTATTGGTGATGAAGAAAAGGATACAAAGTACTTGTTTGGATTTGGGTTAAACGACGATAATTCGTTAGGTTTATCAACCGAATTGAATCAAAGTGTGATGGTTGACCCAAGTGATAACGACATTATTGACTTGGATAAGAGTTCCACTTCGACAGTTCCAGAACTAACCAAAAAGGATATTAGAAAGAAACCAAACAAAATTCCACAAACAGCACAAGCACCAAGTTTTGACAACATTGGAAATGTGTTAACTGGTGACGGGTTCACAGTTGTAGTGACTAAAAACGAAAAACAACTTTATACATGCGGTAGAAACAACAAATATCAACTTGGTTTAGATACAAAGGCTGGTACTTGGAATCAATTACCACTCAAGAATATTTCTCTTATTGATACTGGAGCTGACCACACAGTTGTTGTTCACAATAATTACTTTTTCACATTCTTTGGATCAAACGCTAATGTACAAATGGGAAATATCACTTTAAGGTTATTGGGAACATCTCAAACTATACCTGTTTCCAAAACAGCCGTTCCATTGCAGTTTGATTTGAGAAATGGATATATTGAAGGTCCTGCGGGAAAACAAAAGAAGCCAAACATTATTTCTGTTCAAGCATCCAGATACTTTACTATAATGCTAACTGATGAAGGTTCTTTGATTTTCTTTGGCCAGTTAGAGAGTGCTTTTAAATATCCAAATATTATTAGAAATTCCAACTTTTTAGAGGTTATTTCATTTTCTGGTGTCAATTTATCAACCAGTGCCATTGGAGGTTTCAAGGATAGCTTTAGCATCCAAAAGCCAGACCCAAAGTTTGAGGCCACTGTATCTGCTTATTATCTTGACAGATTTTATTTTTCCAGCGGTATTACAAAGATTTTGGCTTGTGACAAGTTCTTTGCGGTTCTTTTGAACAATAATACTATTTGGATTTCTGATAATACTTTTAGAGGAGTTAATGGTATTGGACTTTTAATCGATCCTATTCTTATCCAAAAGCAAGTTTTAAAGATGGTTTGTGGTAGAAGACACTTGGTTGTTCTCATGCAAGACAATACTACCTATACTGTTGGTTCAAATTACTACGGCCAACTTGGTTTGAGGGGTGTTTCATATTCTTCAAAATTGAACTTTGTAAGAGGTGATGTATCAGATATTGAGGCAGCAGACTTTACAACGTTCCTTATTGCTAATCAGTCCAAGCTTTATGCATTTGGTATGAACAATATGGGTCAATTGGGTGTTACAAGCGCCTCATCATCTAGATCCCTTAGATATACGACAGATTTGGCTCAAGACGCATTTGCAGTTGTGGACTTTGGCAGTAGTATGAATTATAGTATTAGTACTGGTGCATATCAAACATTTATTGCATCTTTGAATGGAACATTTGTTTCTGGTCTAAATTACAACAACATGTTCGGAATTGATGGCGCACCAGAGAAGCTCTACAGCCCAACTAATATTGAGTTATTGAGGAGTCCTTCTAGAATGATTTGTGCAACTTTACAAAATGCGTTCACTATTAGAGATTCTACCAGTGAGCTCATCATGCTCGGTACAAGTGGTTATATTACCCAAAATCCTCCATATGGAATACCAAAAGGGGTTGTTATTGCCAATGTAACTTGTGGAGCTTACCATATTCTTGTAACTGATGATAACAACAATCTCTATGCAGCTGGATTTAACGGTAATGGTCAATTGGGAGTTGGCAATGAGGTAAATTCTCCAGAACTTGTAAAGGTCAACTGGAACTCACAAGCCAATGGTAAGATTTTTCAAACCTCTTGTGGCGCAAAGCATTCTTTAGTACTAACAGAAAAGGGAGCTTTTGCTTTTGGCGATAACACATATGGTCAATTGGGTGTTAGTGGTATTGACAAATCATCGTCTCCTATCAAAATTCCAATTGATAATCCAGTTGCTGTTTATGCAGGCTTTTATCATTCACATATTTTAACTAGGAATGGAACGTTACTTGCTTTTGGAAGAAATGATTACCAACAACTGGGTCCACTCTATGGTGGTGGTTCTATTGTAACCATTCCGACTGCTGTAAACTTTCCATACGCATACGGAGGTATTGCTGATATTCAATCTGGAGCTTTCCATACTGTCATATTAACTTCAACAGGAATGGTTTATGCTTACGGCAACAATGACTATGGTCAATTGGGATTTTCACTCGACAAGACAGCTACATCTGCAGAATTCAAGTTTGGAAGTAACAACTCTCCAAGAATTGCCATATCTATTGCAGCAGGAGCTTTCCACAGCGTAGTTCTCACTTCGCCATACATCCCAAATGTTTGCCCATCAGTTAAATGTAGTGGACTTGATAGGAGCTACTCATCAGTATGTAGTGCAAATGGAACTTGTGTTGCCAATGACTTGTGTATGTGTAATGCTGGCTATACAGGTGAAAATTGTCAATATTTTTCATGTTTTGGACTATCTGCCAATGATCCATCAGCTTGCAGTGGTAGTGGATTATGCGTAGGTGTTGATACCTGTGCTTGTTTTAC